GTCCAGTCAGGTGACACAACAACATGGGATTTGTCTCTTTTTGTCAAAGCTCTGTTGAATTCCAGACCTCCATTTGTGCCTACCACCAAGAAAGGTTTAGTTGCTGGATTGAAATGTTTGAAGGAAACAAGAAACAAACTTTGCCACTCACCAAATGGAAAGATTGAAAACTCAGAGTTTTGCAATCTTAAAAGCGGTGTTTGTAATGTATTAACACAAGTTGGTGCTACATCAAAAGACTTTAAAAAAGTCAAAAAAGGTATTATATATTATATTGTATTTCTTTTTTCATTGCTTAAATGACAAATTTTCAACATTATTTAGTAGTGAACATACTAGACCTGTTAGACGAATAGAGATAGATATGCAGGGTTTTTGATAATAGGGAGCTACTGGCTATATTAACCCACCTATTTACTGCCAGTTATTCTGTGTCTTTAGTAATAATACTGTAAATTGTATACCTACATAAATCAATCAGGCTGCTTTAATTCAAAAAGATAAGGAAACCCCTGCATATGACAGACTTGTATCCAGGTTTTGCTTTACTCTTTTTACTCAAAGGGGTTGGTGGGTAGGACAATCTTCCTTACCCTTCTCTTGATGCATTGTGCTGCGCTACTCAAAAAGCAAGAGAAGCAACTGGGTACTAGAACATGTCTGGATGTACATAAACTCCATAATGCAGGATTCCACAGTTTGTACAATACTGTAGGTCATATAAATTGTTGAAATTATTATGATACGAGACTTCATCACTGTTCTATATATTCAGATGTGGATCATCAACCATTGATTGAATTGTTATCACTGGTAAAACATTGTGCATCACAAGATGAAGAAATCCTTAAACAAATAGATGCAAGTAAGTACAGTCAGGAGTCTTAAAGTAATTTCTAAGGGAGTGGGGAGGGAGGGGGAATCTTTCAGAATAAGCCTTTAATATATACTTAATTTTCATTTTCATTTTTTTTATTTCTCTACTTCTAATTCTCTATATAATTCTTTACTCTTATAAGTCATCTTTGAAAATATCCAAAAATCCCCATTGAAGAAAATATTATAACAATTATTGATGTTTGGAAGGTGTTGAATCTCCTGTCATAATATGCATTATTCTATTCTGTTTTGCAGTAAAACAAGGACAAGAAAAGCTCAAGCAAGGTCAGTCAGATCTACAACAAGGACAACAAGAGATCAGACAAGGTCAGTCAGGCCTGCAACAAGGACAACAAGAGATACTCAAAGCAATCAAATATCAAGACAAGGAATCAACATCAAAGCCCTCAAACTTGTCATGTGAAGGTTAGTGATACCATTTCAATTTTCTTTCTCATGGAAAAATAATGAGATTTTGAAAAGGTAGGCTCAGTCTCCAGCCGTCGGGATTTCGTGCGCCTGCGATACTCTCTCCCCTGACGGCTCGGCACATGGGGTTCGTGATTGTCAGTCTCGACCAATCAGCGAGTGGCCCCCGATATTTTCAGGGGCATATCATTAATAAATTAGCAGGCAGCCGTCGTCGCAGTGTAACAAAATGGCGGACAATTCGTCGTTTGAGATTCTCGTTTGAACTATCTGAAGTCATTTAGCTTGTACGAATTTGGAGAAATACAGCAAAAGGCTCTTAAAGAGATTGTTCTTGGAAAAGATGTCCTTGTTATTCTTCCTACTGGCTCGGGCAAATCTCTTATTTTTAAACAGCGACACTAGTATATTTTGCTCGTCTTTCTGGCAGATAAYATATCCATTTGGATTATTAAACCCTACACATGTTTTACTTGGGGTAATTTCCATTCCTTTCTCTTTTTTAAAGCGCTAACTATTACATTATATCGCCACTTCGCGAAGTTTTCATTTCACACAATTTCCCGCCTTGTAGCAAAACCTTTTGATACAGCTGTTGTCAGATATTTCACTTCCGTTCACTGAAAAATTCACTTCCGTTATTCATAATACGCTAATTACACAAAAACGTCACGGACATGCGCGACACGTTTCGAACCCCATGCCCCCAGCCGTCAGGGGAGAGAGTATCGCAGGTGCACAAAATCCCGACGGCTGGAGACTGGGCCTATTGAAAAGGTTGATGGATTGCTCTCATAATAGCAATAATCATGTTGCATTTATTTTCAGATGTCTTGTCTTATTCTAAAAGACTGAAATCATCAACAAAAGTGCAAACAGAATTCCAACCCAAACCGTTGGCCAGTCCTGATGTGCCAAGCACCAGAACAGATGACATATTCACCAATCTCATGATCCAACGTGAATGGAAACCCTTGAAGAGAATTGAAAGGCCCTCTAGAAGGAAACACCTGCAAAACTACAACAACCCAAGTGACCAACATCTGATTGATAAATGTCAAGACATATTCATCAACCCAGATCATGATAAACCCAATCCAAAGTCCATACTTGTGATTGGAAAACCAGGCATTGGAAAGTCTCTCTTTTGTCAAAGGCTTTCTAGAGATTGGGCTGATGGTGTTTTATTTCACAATAATCCAGATGCCTCAAGAGTGGCAGATGATTTTGACTTTGTGTTTCTAATAACGTTTAGGCAATTAAATCTCTTTGGAGATAAACAGTTCAACTTCTGTGAAGTTTTGAATCACTGTTCTGTGCTAGATGATCATGCAAACATCAATGAACACTTGTTTGAGTACATAATCGGACATCCAGAAAAGGTGTTGTTTATCCTTGATGGCTATGATGAATACTCCAAACGATCCAACATATTTAAATGCACATTTGAACAGAAGTATGCAAACAACCCACGACTTCAGATGCCTGTAGCTGCTTTGATTTCCAAACTGTTGCAAAAGAAGATATTTAAGAATGCTGTAGTCATGGTTACATCAAGACCAACAGAAGCCGATAAGTTCGGGGGAATCCACATGGATGCAGTAGTGGAAATAGCAGGGTTTTCTGTGGAACAAGTTGAAGAATTCATTAAAAAGTACTTCAAGTCAAAGAAGGAAGAAGTGAAGATTGCTGCAAGAGATCACATCATGAACAATGAAAACTTGCTAAGCATTGCACACATTCCTGTGCTTTGTCACCTGATGTGCTTTTGTCTTGAATGGCATATTGAAAATGRAAMAGAGAAGTGCYTTCCAGCRACRATAACTGAACTTTACTCTGAAGTTGTGGAAATCTTTGAAGATTGTTGTAAAACAATTCATAGAGCATCTGAAGATCGAGAGAAGAGTACTGTTAAAAAGCTAACAGAGTTGGCAGCTGCAATGTTTATGGAGGGAAAACTCATTTTTGATCAAAGAGACATTGACAGATTCCATCTGACTTGCCCAGAGACAGGAAGCCTGCAGTCTTTTGGTCTGCTAACATGTGGTCCAGCATTCAGAGAACGTCCATCAAAAATAATAAGATATTTTTGTTTTTCGCATCTTACACTGCATGAGTATTTTGCAGCTCTTGGTTTTGTCAACAGTGGCATAATACCAACACTTGAAGGAGATGGCAAGGAGATGGTGCTCCAGTTTTGTGCAGGCCTTTTGTCTGGAGTTGAAGATGGTGAAAGGCTTATGGAAGAGATGATTTCACCATACTGCCAGAAGGAGAATGGCATGTTAGTGGCAAAGTGTCTACTTGAGTATGGGGACAAAGAATTTGGAGTTAAAATTATAGAAAAATATCACACACAGTTTAGTACTGAAAAGGGAGTTCTATTCCATAAGTTAAGTTTAATTTATAGTTCAGATTGCATAGCATTGGTATACTTCCTGGATCTTATAAGTCAACTTTGTAAAGGGCTTGAAGACACTTCAACAGAATCCTTTTGCATTAATGGATTAAGTATAATTTTTAGTAATGTGTCATCATCAGGCATGAAGCTGTTAGCTGATTCACTAAAAAATGATGGCTGCCCTTTAACTTTCTTCAATATTGATTTACGGTTTTCAAATATTTGTTTTTCACTTCCCATTGTTCACTGTCTATTTCCAGCATTACCTTCAACAAACATCACCACACTTCACCTTCATGATAAATTTACTGACGAAGGGATATCATGTCTTAGCATTGTATTACCATCAACACACATCACCACACTTCACCTTGATGGTAAATTTACTGACGAAGGGATATCATGTCTTAGCATTGTATTACCATCAACACACATCACCACACTTCACCTTGATGGTAAATTTACTGATGAAGGGATATCATGTCTTAGCAATGTATTACCATCAACACACATCACCACACTTCACMTTKATGGTGACTTTACTGATGAAGGGATATCAACCCTTAGTAATGTATTACCATCAACACACATCACCACACTTCACCTTGATGGTGACTTTACTGATGAAGGGATATCAACCCTTAGTAATGTATTACCATCAACACACATCACCACACTTCACCTTGATGGTGTCTTAACTGATGAAGGGATATCATCCCTTAGTAATGTATTACCATCAACACACATCACCACACTTCACCTTGATGGTGTCTTAACTGATGAAGGGATATCATCCCTTAGTAATGTATTACCATCAACACACATCACCACACTTCACCTTGATGGTGTCTTAACTGATGAAGGGATATCATCCCTTAGTAATGTATTACCATCAACACACATCACCACACTTCACCTTGATGGTGTCTTAACTGATGAAGGGATATCATCCCTTAGTAATGTATTACCATCAACACACATCACCACACTCAGTCTTTCAAGTTCATTTAATTATGTTTTGCCTTCTAGCTGCTTTACTGATAAAGGGCTATTAACCCTTAGTGAAGTATTGCCATCAACATCTATAAATTCCCTTAGTCTGAAAAGCTGGGAAATTACTGAGAGAGGCATAGATGAACTTAGAAAATCAGCACCAGCATGCAATATTGTAATTTATTGATGCTAGCAAGTAGGATTTATAATAATGGTAACTGTTTCTATTTTACAGCATAAAGCACAGGTTGTTTCCCAACATCATTACTGACTAATTTCTAAATGCCAGTTAGTATATTTTATTTTATAAATGTTTAGAATTAAGCAATATGTTCTAAGCTTGTTCGTGCAGGCAAAACACAACACCAGTTGGGTAAATAATGGACAAAAACCATAAATCTTAATATATATATATATAAAGTACAAACTACTATAACATCCCTACACGAAGGTGAGGGCTCAAAACAGCACTTCCGGGACATAAGCAAGAGGTGGTCTGGGGAGGAGGAGGGAAAATTGTACAAACGGGTGCAACTCACCTTAGAATCACATTCAAAGTGAACAAGCTGCCAACTGAACAAGGCGGGAAAAACAAAAACCTAGAGGGCATCTCAATTGATAGAATTATACCTCTACCCTACCACCGGAAGCTGACGTCACCGGAAGTAAACTAACATGATTAAATATTGCTAAATATTATTTATTGTGCTGTCCGTACTGGATCTCAATTAATTTTTCAACCTATTCACAATTTATGATTAACAGAGTACACTTAAGACTAATTTTAAAACTCCTACTTGTACTCAACCTTGTACTCATTGTCAAATCTGAAGTTCCCTAATGTTTTTAAACATAAAATATAAAATATAAAAAATAAAATAAATAATAATAATATAAAATATACTATACTTCAACTTTCAAGAGGTAGTGTGTGAAAAATTTGTGCTCCATCCCCACAGCATGACTTATGGCAAAATATTTTGGTGTGTGGCCTGATCAAATTCAGTCACTATATAAACAAAATATGTTATTTTATATTCTGAGACATGATTCAATGCTAGGTCAGGGAATCAAATCCATGCTGTAGATCCAAAGTCTGTAGTTACATACATGTATATATCATAATTTTCCAATAAACATTTTCATTTAATGATTTTATGGTGCTTGTTGTTGATTAATCAGCATGTTTTGAAGAATGTGATCATTGAGGCTTGTCAACTATGGTGTACCCCCCTGACAAAAATCCTTGATCTGGATAAAAATGTGTTGGGCCTGTTAATATGAGGTCTGTGAGAAAGGTTGCCTCAGGGGGGTCTTTTTTTTCTAGAGTTACTGCACTACCCAGGGGGCTCTTTCATTTGTAAATCTTATTATAAAACTTATTAATAAGCATGAGCTATTACTCCAATAAGGGCTGTCCATTTAATCAGGTGATTGACCTTGTAAATCTGATACAACACTGTGATACAACACTAGTGTTGTAGAAGATTTACAACACGTCGTCACCTTGAGACAACCCAACACTAGCAAAGGTCTCAGTTTTAGTATCGCATCATAGACCTTCACTAGGTTTTGAAGCAATCAAAGATGGATAACAGAACTCCCTTATGCAACAGATGGCTTGCTTTCCATGTGGGATGGATAATTATTCAAAATGTTCTGTGTTGCAGTAAGTTGCGCATGCTTAATAGGGACTAAACTCAGCAGTTTCCTTAATTGTCATTTTTTGTCATTTATCTCACTGAAATTCATGTTAAGTCTGGCCTGCGGCTCGAGATTGTAATTTCCCATACAACACGGCCGCTYATGTTGTAAACTATACTTACTTTTTCTGCTCTTCCGGGTTTTTTTTCTTTTTTAAAATCTATTCATCCATTCACTAACTTCATTTATGAAACCAATCAGTCAATCATAATTTTATTCAAATCATGAATTCATTTAAATTAACCATTCATTTATTTAATCAATTACATGTATTTTGAACTGTCTATCAATTCTAATTATTCATAAGATATTGCTCCA